CTTGTGGTTAGCTGTACAGCGTTGATCCAACAGTGCAGCATTAGAATAGAGCTGTTCTACTCAGGGTTAACATGAAACATGTGGGTTAGTCATGATTTGGAATCAACTCAACAGCAATAGTTGTAATTTTTTAAAAAAATTCACACAATGAAATGTTAAATTGCAATGAGAATGAGCAAACTGACTACATACAAGACAGATGAATCTCACAAAGGTAACATTGAATGAAAGAAGTCCTACACAGAAGAGTACATACAATAGGATTTCATTTATATGAAGCCTGCAGAGGTAAACTTGATCCATGCTGCTAGAAGTCAGGAGGATGGTCATATTTTGGGGACAGGGTGAGATTAATGCTTGACAGGAATCAGATTTGTGTTCTGGAGAGTGGGTATTGTTCTGTTTCTTGATTTTGATGCAGGCCACACAGTTGTTAAGTTGTGAAAATTTACTAAGTTGGTATGACAAGAGAACTTTTTATATGTACATGAAGGGACTTCATAATGGAATGTAAAAATAGATTTTTTTTCCATAAACTTTTTGAAACCCCTCATACTGGTAGTCTATAAAAAAAAAATTAACAAATTTTAGAGAGGAATTAAGCTAGAAGTCAGAGATGGAAGAACACTATGTATTCTCATCTTTTAACACTATCACTCCAAAGAAGCTATCTTTTAAACTCCCCTTGATCTTAGCCAAGAGTCAACTACTAAAATGTATCTCTTGTCACATTTAGGAAGTCACTGCTATACTGATGGATGAATCTGAAGAATTATTTCTATAGCCAAAGAAGGGTAAAATAACTTCAGTTAAATGATTCAAATCTCCACATTTGTGTGTAATGCTAAGAAATGATTCCTATTATATTGTTGGGTTATGAGTGAAGTTGAGTTCTCAGTATATACCGTATACTTCCTTTACATACAGGAGAAAAGTCTATGTATTTTATTTTCTAGTTCAGTTCTCTTAGTCTTTTGCCTGTAGTCACAAATGTTCTCTTTCTCCTCTCTGCTTCTAAAAATGAATGTAATTTTTCACCTAAAATAGTGTAGAATAAAATTTCTGATGTATTCTATGTCCTAGAAAACAGACCCTATTTTGACAGCACATCAATTGCATAATTCACTCTTCACATAATTACATAATTCAAACTCATTATTTAACAGTTCTCATATTTTAACTGTATCTTTTTTGGTATATTTTCTTCCATAGCAACATGCTTTCTAGCTCTCCCACACCCATTTTTCTGAAGAAAGATGTCTCAAAGATTTTTCTTTGCATTTTAAACAACCAAGAAAGGAAAGAGCTGGAAGCTTTGTGAGGAATAGGCACTGAAAGTCTCTCAGATAGTTGCCATTCATTCTGTGATGATCAGATGGGTTTTCAGGGCTCACAGGGTGACAGGCAATCAACATAGAGTGGAATAATGGTTCTACAGTTAGACAGCCTAGGTTCAAATTCTAGCTTGTATTTGGTGTTGTTAAGCGCCGTCAAGTCGGTTCTGACTCATAGTGACCCTCTATAGGGTTTCCGAGGAGTGGTTGGTGAGTTTGAACCACCGACCTTGCAGCCCAAACCAACCTTGCAGTCCAGTGCTTATCCTACAGCACCACACCAGGACTCCAAATTCTAGCTATACACACATAATTTACCATCTCTATACACAGATGTTTTACTTAACCTTTCTATGCTCAGTGTATTCATCTGTGAAAGAGAGATACCAGGAATACCTTTTTCCTAGTCTTTTCCATCCCACCCCCTCCCCTCCCAAATAAACCCCAAACCCATTGCCAGTGAGTTGGTCCTGACTCCCAGCGACCCGAAAGGATGGAGAACTGCTCCATGGGATTTCCGAGACGCAAAATCTTTACTAAAGCAGGCATCTTTCCTTAGCAGAGCAATTTTTGGGAAGGTTAAATGGCAAAATATGTGAGTATTACTTAGAATCATACATAGTACATGGTAAACATTCAATAAGAGTTGTTACTGTAAGAAGAGATGACAGCTAGTGATTTTTACCAGGCCATCTGTTAACAGACTTCTTTACCTCCATCATAACTGTCTGCATCTCCTTTCTTTTAGCCTAATCCATGCTAAGAAGCAAATGGCAAAAGCATTTAAAAGAACTGTCAGTACCACAGAATAATGGCACTGAAAAGCCTTTTCAAATTAGGAAGGACATGAAGCCCAGAGATGCTGTTGTTGTACAGTGTCATTGAGTAGATTCCGACTCATAGCAACCCCTATGTCAATAACTTTTCCTTTCTGTGTTGCGCTCTAGGATCAGCACTGGAAGGCTAACCAAGTTAACCACTGGTTCACAGTGCAAACCAAGCAGACACACTTGGAAACCCTATACAGGGTCACTATGAGTCAGAACCAACTCAATGGCACACAACAACAACAACAACAACAACAACAACAACGTATTTCCTGTTAGATCTAGAGGGCTGATTAGATTCAGGTACTCTTTTGGTGTGATAGTTGTTAACAGGTGTTGTTAGGTCAACTCTGACTCATAGCAACCTAATGTACAACTGAAAGGAAAACTGTTCAGTCCTGTGTCCACCTCACAATCCTGAATTATACCCATGTTTGAGCCCATGGTTGCTGCCACTGGTCCATCTCATGAGAGGTCTTCCTCTTTTGCAATGACCCTTTTCTTTACCAACTGTGATGTCCTTTTCCAAGGACTGATCCTTCCAGACAATTCCAAAGCACACAAGACAAAGTTTCAGCATCCACCTTTCTAAGGAACATTCTGGCTATATTTCTTCGAAAACAGATTTGTTCAGTCTACTGGTAGTTCATGGTATATTCAATGTTTTTCACTAACACCATAATTCAAATACATCAATTCTGTAGTCTTTTTTAACCTTTGTTCAGTTTTCGCTTGCCTATGAGATGATCGTAAATATCATGAGTTGGGTCAGGCACATCTTATTCCTCAAGATGACATCTTTGTTTTTTGATATTTTAGAGAAGTCTTTTGCAGCAGATTTGCTCAGTGCAATATAATATACCTTTTGATTTCTTGACTACTGCTTCCAAATTCACACAGCTAATTAGAGGAAAAGCTGATGTTACACATTGGTTATTTATGTTCTTAGTCTGAGCACTTGGCTGGAGAAACCTGCAAACTGAAGATTAGCCTATGCTCTTGGTTCACTTTTTACTTTACTAAGAAACCCTGCACTGGGTTACTATGGGCCGGAACCGACTTGACGGCACTTAACAACAACAAAGGGAACAAGTAGTACACACAACTCCTCCAAGCTGAGCAACCTCCTTTGCCATAGGTTGTCCATGTGACTCTAGACGCCCCACTCTCTGCAGATTTATTCTGGTTAGCATTTAACGTTCACAGTCAGAACTATAATCTCCATGGTGTTGCGGGGTGGTTGTCATGCCGACGAAGTGAAATGGAAATAGAATTTTCTAGTAGATTATTCTGGTGGAGAGTTGATATGTAGATTATAGTTCTGACTGTGAACCTTAAATGAAGTAAGTTATTAGGACTGGCACATAGTAAGCACAACATAAATACTTGTTAAAAGACAGTATGAAGACAGGGATGAAATTCCACCTGGAGGGACCATGGGAAGAAAGTCCTATTGATCTGCTTTTGGGAAATCAGCAATTGAAAACACTGTGTTTCCTAAATTTACTCTGACACACATGGAATTGTGTGCTTATAAGTCAGAATCCACTTGATGTCAACTGGCTGGCACCTATGCTGGTGTCAAGCTGTTGCTCTAAGGTAATTATGGAGCTATTTATAGTTAAATTAACATCAGAATCTATCAATAGATGGGTGGATCAACAAGGTGTGCTATATCCATACAATGGACTATTATTCAGCTAGAAAGAGAAATGGAATTCTATTGTTACCTACCACGACATTGACGAACCTTGAAAACATTATGCTGAGTTAAATAAGTCAGACACTAAAGGACTAACATTGTATGATCCCAGGTATATGAAATAGCTAGAATAGACAAAAGCATAAAGGCAAATGTGCTTACCATGGGCTCAGGGGGAAGAGGGTCTGTGAATGGTTGCTTAGGGGTACTGAATTTCTGCTTGGGGTGATGGCAGCTTGCAAAATTGTTGTTATAGAAATTTTACCAAAACAGAAATAAAATAAAAGTAGCATTGAGATCAAGACCATACATTTAGTGACTGTACAGATGAACAGAACAGAATCTTGATTTTGACAAAATTCAACAATAACTTTTCTCCTGTTTTCATTAATTCAGGAGCTGGTCTAGGAGTTTTCAAAATAGTTTCTTGTCTTTTTTTTTTTCTTCTGAGGGTGTGATGTGGGAAGAAGGGGTTTGTTTTCCCTTTGAAGGAAAGAAAACTGTAAAAAATCTCTCCTTCTTCAGTGTGCCCCTCAGATATGGGGTGTGGAAATCTTGTTATCTACAATCCATACACTTTCATAGATGTAGTTCTGACGGTTAACTTAGAGCCAGGACACTATGCTAGAAAGACTAGACTCCCTATGTTAGCTATTTTGGAACATTTTCTCCCCATAGCTTATAGTTCCTAATATAAACACCCTGACCTTCCAGTCGGAAGGATTTCAAAGAAGATGACCAGCCATACTTCATCATCCACCACATCCACACTCCCAGTAACTGTAAAGCGCAGAAAGCTTGCCAGGGCCTGCAGGAGCGCAGCGCCTCTGATGATTGCACGCCTCTCCCCTTGCTCCTCCAGGAATGATCCTAGCATCTCTCCCCGTGATGTCAGAAAAATCCTGAGCCAGATCCAGCTTCCAGGCTGGGGGAGGACACACAGAGATCTGGGCGGCTCAGCATTAAGGGAGTGTCACTCGCTGGCAGGCGACCCCGGGCGTTGGCTCCTGGGCCCCTGGAGGCGCGCAGTGCCCCGGGGCTGCTGCGGCGCCGCCCCCGCTGGCCCGTGCCACGCTCCACTGTGGCCTCCGCCGGGCCCCCGGCGCAGGGGTGCAGTGGAGGGGTGCAGCGGGGGTGGGAGCGGGCCCGGCTCAGCCTGATTTACGGCTCTGCTGAAAACCGCTTCGCTCCCGCAGCATCAGCACCGGCCGCGGCGGCAGCAGCAGGAGCTGCAGCTGCAGCAACAAGTCTGGTAAGTAGCGGCCGCTGGGCATCTGCGCCCGCGGCCGGCCCTTGAGGGTGCGACGTGGTGCCGGGCAAGGGGCTGGCACGGACTGCCGGCGTCTGGAAGGGATCTCCGCGCCCGCAACCCTGTGGGGAGTTGGGAGTACCGGCTTCTCGCCCCCCACCTGCAGGAGCTCGTGTGCTCACGTTTCCACTCGGGCACCATGGGATGGCACCCTGCAGGGCAGGGGTGGGAAGGGTTGGGACCCTTGAGGTTAGGTTAGTGGCAACCGCTGCTGCCGGTGCAGAGTAAATTAGGGTTCTCCTCCAGCCTTGTGAATGGGGTTTAGGCTGGGCCCAGGAACGCCTGTGTGACCCGGAGTGACGGATTTTCCATTTCCTCATATAAAAATACTACCCCTTATTATTGCTCCCTGGAATCCTGACCTCCCCTTCTTTTTCCTTTAGTCACTGTTTTTTTGGCCTTTGCCTTGAACCAAGGTTTACATTCTATCCTTAAGAAGACAGCTCCGTGTAGTGCAGAAAGAGGTACGTCTCTCTGGTGCCAGAGGTTTATTAACCTTGCTGGATCAGCTAGCTGTCTGGGCATTCTTTGCACTTTTGCTTTTGATACAGGGTCCAGTAACAACACCGTCCATCCAGAAATCCCCAGCTCTTTTGGGGAACCAGATGCTTGTTACATTTAAGTAGAAACCGTTCATGAAAGGACTGGACTTGCACTGCTTGCAGAATTGGATTGCTGGTAGTCATCTGTTGCTAGGGCTGAGGTAATAAATTCCTACAAGGAAGCAAGAACTTCCTGTTATTGAAAGAGTTTTGCTGATACCTAGGAGCTCTGGTAGTGTAGTAGTTATGAATCGGGCTGCAAACCTTAAGGTCAGCAGTTCGAAACTACCAGCCGCTTCACTGGAGAAAGATGAGGCTTTCTACTCCAGTCAAGATTTACAGCCTTGGAAACCCTGTACAGGGTCGCTATGGGTCGGAATCGACTAGACAGCACTTAACAACAACAACCTGGCCCAAACAATGGGCATCTGCAGGGGTTTTCATGTTAAAACAGAATTATACAAGACAGATGCACGCAGAACACGCTATTATAATAAAATATTGGCCATGGCCATTGTCCCATGTATATCAAATGATATTGGATACGCTGGGTTCCCAAATCTCAATAAAACTAGAAAATGGGGGTCCTTTATTATTATAGCACTCCATTGACCCATATCATCAATGCAATAAATAAAAGATAAAATGACAGGTAGAAATATCTCAGGTTGGAAAATGTTCAGTGTGCTTAATGCCACTGTGCCTATCTTATACTCCAGGAAAGATTGCTCCGTTTGCTCTCCTACTACCTATTTTGACAACTCATGTTGTATTTGTATTTGTCAGGATGGTATCAGCAAAGTAGGACACAGTTTTGCATTTAGTATTCTAAGTTCTGGAGGGCAGGGCACTTGAATTCCACATCTGGATCTGCCATTTTCCATTTGCACTTGATTAATGAGTTTACCTCATGTTCCAGTTTTTACCATCTAGGAATCCTAGACAAGAATCAGAACACTTTTTCTGTGGAGGTCAGATAATCAATGTTTTTGACTCTGTGGGCCAGAGAGTCTTTGTTTTAACTACTCAGTTCTGCCCTTATAGTGCAAAAGCAGCAGCAGGCAATGCATATAAAGAACGACTGTGGCTGGATTTAGTCCATGGACTCTGGTGGTGGTGGTTATGTGCCGTGGAGTCGGTTCTAACTCACAGTGATCCTGTACAGAGTTTCTGACATATTATTTTATAAAAAAAATAAAGATTTTTTATGGGAGCAGAAAGCCTCATTGTTCTCCCATGAACTGTAGGCCTTAATTTTTAACATTGTGGATGTAAAAGTCATTGAAACCCCAAAGCCTCTGCCCTCACGGAGATACTTGTTGTGAACAACAGTTCTGACGCATAGCAACCTTGTCCAGGGATTTCAAGGAGTGGCTGGTAGGTTTGAACCACTGACCTTGAGGTTAGCAGTCCAGTGCTTATCCTACAGCACCACACCAGGACACACATGGGAACAGTTGTTAAGTGCCATCAAGTTGGTTCTGACCCAGAGTGACCCTGTGTAGGGTTTTTGAGGAGCGACTGGTGATTTTGAACCACTGACCTTGTGCTTCATACCAACTTTGCAGTCCAGAGCATTAACCCACAGTGCAGACCAGGACTCCATGGAAATTGTTGTTGTTGTTAAGTGCCGTCGAGTTGATCCCGACCCATAGCAACCCTGTATAGGGTTTCTGAGGAGTAGATGGTGAGCTTGAACCACCGACCTTGCAGTTCAAAAGGCTTTGCAGTGTGGCACATTAACCCACAGCACCACACCAGGACTCCATGGGAATAGTTGTTGTTGTTATGTGCCGTAGAGTTGGTTCCGACTCATAGCGACCCTGTACAGGGTTTCTGAGGCTGTAAATCTTTACGGGAGCAGAAAGCCTCATCTTTCTCCCACGTAACAGCTGGTAGTTTCGAACTGCTGACCTGAGGTTTGCAGCCCGATTCATAACCACTACGCTACCAGAGCTCCTTATGAGAATAGTAGCACCAGTTATTTCAGTAGAATTTTTTTTAAGCAGACATATAAAACACATGATTTTTTGTGTTTCCTACCCAGGACTTTGAGAGTAATGCAACAGAAGGCTTTTGAAGAAAGCAAATATCCCTGGCAGGAATCCTTTGAGAATGTTGCTGTGTGCCTGCCATTCCGCTGCCCGAGGTGTGGAGACCACACCAGATTTAGAAGCTTGTCATCCTTGAAGGCCCATCTGGAATTCAGTCACAGCTATGAGGAAAGAACCCTCTTGACAAAATGCAGCCTCTTTACTTCCCTCCAAGACACAGACCTAGTCACGTCCTCAGAACTCTTGAGACAGGGAAAGTTGCAGAGCAGTGGCAATGTGGTCAAGCAGAGGCCCAGCTATGTGAACCTGTACAGCATTTCCCATGAACAATCCAAGGACAGAAAGCCATTTGAGGTGGTGGCAGAGAGACCTGTGTCTTATGTGCAGACCTACACTGCGCTGGACCTGCGGGCAGACTCTCTGGATGGACCACGATCCAGTCCTGGACTTCCCACCTCGGACACCAAAGCTTCTTTTGAGGCGCACGTCCGAGAAAAATTCAATCGGATGGTTGAGGCTGTAGATAGGACCATCGAGAAGCGTATTGATAAACTCACCAAAGAGTTGGCCCAGAAAACTGCTGAACTCTTGGAAGTTCGGGCTGCTTTTGTGCAACTGACTCAAAAAAAGCAGGAAGTTCAGAAGCGCGAGAGGGCCCTGAACAGGCAGGTGGATGTGGCGGTGGAGATGATCGCTGTGCTGAGGCAGCGTCTGACGGAGTCTGAGGAAGAGCTTCTTCGGAAAGAAGAGTAAGTGACACTGAAACAGGATAGTAGCCCTGTCGCTTTAAGCATCTCTCCCCATTCCCGATCACACACTCATCACCAATATATGATGAGCAAGGTTTTGTTTTTATTGTTTGCTTGCTCTCAACATGGTCTACTTTCGCATAGTCAGTCAACCATTTAGAAACTCTATGGAGCACAGCTGTCCTCGGGCACACATAGGGGTCCCAAGAGTCAGACTTGACTCAAGGCAACTGGTGGTGTTGATGCTTGACCTGCAGCCTGGCAACATTAAAATAAAAATGTCTCATTCACGTCACCTGGGAATGTGCCAACCTCAGATGGTTTTAGACACAGGGCTTGGGCAGTTTAAATGTAGTGGGGTCCACTTCAGCAACAACTGGTAAGCAAGTGGAAGGAAAGGGCAGATAGGACATGTTGGGTGATGTCGATTCTTCATTGACGTCTTGTTATAAAGTCCAGAACATGTGATGTTAACTTATTCAAGTATAAAAATGTGCCCCAAATGCAAATAATTTTTACCTCTCAGCCATTTTGCATGATTTGTCCATGTTAATTAAATGCAGATAGCTGTGAATTCATTTAACTATAGTGTGCAGAAGACACAGACTTTAGAAAGCCCATATGTAAGACCTTGCACTTCTTGTCATTCTGGTTTAAGTTTGAGAATTTTCTACTATTTAAAAAAGTGATGTGCATTAAGCGTTGGTCACTTGCACAGAGTTGACAATGATCTTTACAAGTTATAGATGTCATTACTTTTTAAAAAAGCATCATACTGGGGGAAGCATTTCTTCATCAATACTTATGGGTTCATCCCCAACTAGAAAAGTTTGAGGGGG